CCCTCGTGTAGTTTTGCGCAAAATTCAAAACAAACAAACAATAACACTGAGTATCTGTAAATATTCTAGGAATAAATTATACGACATATCTCCAGAAAAATAACTTTTCTCAGCATTTTGCTGTGTCGGCCTCTATGAGGGGCATACTCTAATACGCATTGTCCTTGTTGGCTCTTTCCCACGAATCAAACGCATCGTAAGTTAATAAAATTATAATATATTTATATTTTATACTTACTATAGACTCCTAATTTATACAGATGGACAAACATGGTCTGAATAATGGTACTCAAACGTTAAAGTATTGAGGTATCGAAGTGAAACAATGAAAACTTTAAAATATATACTATGTACAAATAAATAGTTAAAAAAAGTACCAGACAAAGAATATGCAAATTCTTAGCACATTATTTAAAAATATTTTAAGATATTTTCAGTTACAGTTATCCAATGATAGAAATAATTCGTTTCAAATATATTTTATCTGGGGTATGCTGATTTGTTTGTAATTAAGCACAAAGCAGCACAATGCTCTGCCCACCACGGGTATCGAAACGCTGTTTCTAGCGTTGTAAGTCAGCAGACATACCGCTGTGCCACTGATAAAACTTGCCTTTTTAATAAACCAGAAGAAAATTACTTCTGACTTTTTTACTCAAATTGAATATATCACTACTTTGAAGATAGATTGTGAAGTGTATTTAGGAGTTAGTTATGTTTTGCTTGTAAAATTTTCATTAAACATTATTACTAAATTCGATAAAAGAGAAATGAGAAGCCTTTTGGAAAACGCTGCCTTATTTTACATTTTCAAATGTTCAAGTTATTTTTAAAACTTCAAGACTTTAGAATTTTTAGGCGAAACTTAACGTCATCACTATGACCTGCAGGTAACATATAAATTATCCTGGTACTTATAAGTCTACCTCAAATTTAATCTTATTACTTGGAATATAAAAAAAAAATCATAACATATTAGAACCTAAGTTGATTCACTACTTTGTGACAGTTGTCTGCGAATTGTATTGCATAATATAGTCCAATATGTTGAACTCATAAATTTAGTAAGGGACATTCACTGCTAACATTAATCCAAATCTAATTTCTTTAGACTGTGAATAATATTATTGTGTTGGTTTATAATCACAACTATAATATAATCTTAAAATACAGCGACATAGAAATGATTGGTGACATTTATCTTAAGTAACTTTTTTTCAGTTAACCTATTTTAACCTGCGCTTATTATGCTTCACATATGTCGTGACTTGTGAATGAAGGAATAATATTATTTCTTCGTGTACAAGTTAGAACAGAACACGTGTATAATTTCTTGTTTTGTACATTTAATTAATGTTGTTGTTGTTTATATAAAGCGTATTTGCTTGAAATACATGTCAGGTAGACAAAGCAAAATCCAAGATTCAAACATTAAATTACATAATAAAAGTTAATTGTCAGTTGGACAAAATTTCACAGTAAAAATAGTTAAATTTAAACAAAGAATAAGATGAGTACAGCATTTTGTGTATCAAATTTATAGTAATACGTTAAGTGGATATGTAGATGCTGTACCTACGTTTTATTTATTGTTTAATAGTTTACGTAATGCATCTTTCAATGTTCATAACCCTTATTCGCAGTATTGTTAATTTATTATACTTTTTGACAACCACTACTCTATAATATTTTAGATTATTAAAACCTAATATTGAATCATTGCATGCATCATAATAGTAGTTCTTTAGGATGTTTGAAGTCTAGACTATAATAACTTGTAATAATTGGTCATTGGTTAAGCCCAATCAAACCAACCCATTAGTTTTTAATTAAATAACATAAGTGTTGCGGTTCAACAGCCAAATAGTATAAATAATGATCGTTTGCTTTCTCATATTTGTCTAATGTTCTTAGAAATGTTTTTGAATCATTAGTTCTTCATCTATACCTTGTAGCAAATTAATACTAGTACTAATATTAGTACTAGTCTATAGAACGTTATAACATAAACAATTTTCGTTTTGAGTTTACTGTTAAAACTTGTGTACTTGATAATTATCGAAACGTCGTACCTGTATTAAAAAATAATCTTACTTACTGTAAAAGCTGTAAATTGTAATAAAACTGTTGTATTATATTTTTAGCTTGTAATTATTCAAATACACAAGTTTAAAGTTTTTAACGTTACTCCTAGGAAGAGCACAAATATATAAAGTTTTGTTAGTTACTGAAATACGGATATTGTTATAGATCTTTTCTCACATCTGTACTTTACTTTTATCATTTGTGCAGGAGCTTTGTGAATCGGTGTTTTTCTAAAGACTTTTTCATTGTTGGATAAATGGTTACATTTTTATATTAAAGTGAAAAATGAGTTCATACCTCATTTAACAAGTTTATTTTTATGTAACTCCCATTAAAACTTTCTTTATGAACACTTTTCTATACTCTACCGAACATCTATCTATAACTACGTTAGGAAACCACAAATGTTTCCTTTCACGTTGCTGATATTAATCTTCCGATATCGTATAAATATAATGTAGTTAATATAAGTGAATTGGTTCTCTATCCAGAAATGGCCTTACTTTCTTTACCTTCTATATCCCCAGAAATGTTGCAGTTTTTTTTCTGTAAGTTTAAAATTTTCAAGTTTTCATAAACCTCTCGATAACGATTCCTAAATTTTCATAATTGTCACTGTCCTTTGTTGTGGACAGAATTGAAGCATCGCAACAGCACTCATGTCGTTTACTTAATAAGAGTGGTGCCTTGGGTAATTTGCAATACGTTTTTACAGTAAACTCAAAATAGATTATGCTGGTTATATTCCCTGGTCCTTGTTGAGATGTTTATTTTTTGTGTTTATCGCATTGCATTAAGTGCGTTTATTTCATCAGATGTACATTCAAATGCAGTGTTACTGATGAAATATGCTTACTTTCATAAATGTCTTTAAAATGTTTCAGCAAAAGTTTAAAAATTACTAACACTTGTTATACTTGGCTAGATCTTCATTCTCTAGTTCATTTATTTCGTGGAAAGAAAAAAACAACAACAAAAACTTCCCAGATTGTCTTGCATATGTGATAAGTATTTACGTTTACTAATCTGAAATTATGTATTTGACTGAATATTTCACTACTTATTATTGCAAAGCAAAATCGTTCATTAAAGCTGTGCGAAAATAAACTTCTAATTTTAGGGTTTTAAACCTTACATATAATTTTATATTTTTTCTTAAATTATTTCTCTTGCCCCATTGAAAACAGAAGCTGAGATTTGGTTGGTCACAAATAATGTAGGAAGTGAAAAAAATGGCGAAACAATTATGAGATATACTCAATTTTACATTAATTGTTTTTCTTCGAAAAATTCCTCGTATTATTGTAAGACTGTTTGTCTTTCCTTAATTGCTTCTTATAGTGGTGGACACTCAAGCAGAAACAATATCCACACTTGCTCAGGTGGCCTTTTGTGTCTTGGCCATGCAAACCGATCTTTAAAGAATATAGCATCTGCTGTAGCACTGTCGTGGTGCGCTGTTGTGATTTCACACGTATCAACGGGACATTTGTCTTTTATGAAGATTTGCCTTCCTAAGGGTAGATCATTCCAACCTGCCTTCCCAAAATACAGAAGAATTTTCTTTAATTTAGGATGAGAATTGTTTTTCAACGAGGCGTAGTCGGGTGGAATGTACATGAGTTGGCTTTCAATACGGTCACCGTCGTCTTCGTGAGACCATATTTTTGGGGGAGAATATGTGGCTCCAGGATGGTTGGATTCAACAGGCCATTTTACACCATTCTTCATAAACCAGAGCTTTTCCACGACAGCTAACTCTTGTTCTTTAGGATAAACACTCTGTTCTATATGAAGTGATTTTCTTATCTCCTTATCTTCCTGCTGTTGCTCTCGAATCACATCGTCTACCTTTTCTTCTTTCATCCGAAGATTCAAGGCTACTAGGGTAACACAACCAATTCCTACTATTGTCAGAAGCATTCTTCGTAATCGTAGTCGTGGCATTCTGAAAACTCGCTTCTTTCAGTCCAATGTTATTCTTCATCTGTTCAGGAAGTAAAAATATATTCAGTGAATGATATTTTAAGAACGGAAGTCAAAATTAAACGTGAGTCCATTGCAAAATCTTATTAGTTTGTTACACCGATACTGTCTATTCGGGCAAACAAATTAAGCCCAAACTTTAGTTTTATTTACATAAGTAGATGCATAACAAATCACAAAGAAATAACGCAAAATCATTCACACCCAAGGATTTACCAACATGGCTTACGTTATTAATTGGACAGCCACCTATCGGCACGACTCAGACATCGTTGCACCCTATGAAAAGTTCATTCTTTATGATAAAAAGGTTCAGGCTCTAAAACAAAAACAAGATTATACAGCAAAGAAGACAAAAAAAGTAGCTTGGTTTGTATCCAATTGTGCTGCTCGAAATGGCCGACTCCAGTATGCTCGGGAGCTTGCAAAGTATATCGAACTGGATATCTATGGTACTTGTGGTGCCAAGAGGTGTCCACGCACTAGTGCTAAAAAGTGCTTTGACATGCTTGATAAAGAATATAAATTTTATTTGGCATTCGAAAATTCCAACTGTAAGGATTATATTACAGAAAAATTCTTTGTCAATGGATTAAGGTAAGCTTTCTTTCTTTTATTCCTGAAAATATTAACACGTTTGTCGTTTTCAAACTAATGTGAATTTATCTGGAAAAATTGGGAGAATTACTGCTTTAACAGTGATGCCAGTTTGAATAATTACATGTGAATTACGTTGTTAAGGGGGATTGTGTAAAGATTTGCTTTTACACAGTCATACTGATGCTACGTTGTTCAACGCATATTAAATCTACGGCAACACTTGAAGTTAATGGCTAGTGTTCCCGTGAGTAAGGTATATTCTAATCTTTCTTCTTTCCTTAACAGTATTGGTTAGACTGTTTAATATCTGTAGTTTTATCTTTTGTTGTTATTATACGTTTGATTGCATTGTTAATTTAGTATATAGATTTAAGGCTAAATTAAATCTTCTAAGCTGGCTAAACCTCATGAGGTATTATTGGGTTTACAACAAATGAAGCAATGCATTTTAATAGTTATAACAAAGAACGTAAGAAAAGTATATATAACTAGCTTTACTCATTCTAATAATTATAACAAAGGGCGTAAGAACTGTATATTTAATTATTTATACTCATTATCGTGCTTATTTTTATTTTTATCTAAGTAAGTAACTTGCTTTGATTGGAGTTAGTATCAGTATAAATGGGATAATATCTTAAAATATGATATTGAAAGAACTGAATTTCAAATGAATAAGTCTCATTCTGAGACAAACCAATGAACCGATTTAATTATTTGTTTGCAAAATCAAAGGAAGCCAAAATCATGTTTAAAAGCATGACGTTTTTTGTTACACTGGGATTGTATTGAAGTGAAACCTTTTTAAGTGTTTGTCCAGTTTTATTAGCATAATTATGTGATTGATGACTTATTGTGGTGTAACAATTAAGTAACTATGTAGTTAATTTCAGTTGCATTTTATAGTTTTTGTTCTCTTTATTCTGAAAAACGTTAACCTACTTGTTTATTTTCTTCTCAATTAGTCTTTTGTGATTCAAAATCAGAGGTATGTAAAAATATCTCCCTTGTTGATGGTAGAAGCCATTGGACGGGTTGTCTGACTCGTCTACAACTCCATTACCTTAGTCTTCGTTGCTGATGTTGAAGTCTCACTGGAACCCATCATTCATAGATCTGGGTGCCTCTTGAGCCGTATTGAGAAAGAAACAAAAAGAGGAACGTGAATTCAGGAACCCTAGAACACTTGTTCAGATCAGCTGAAGGTTCAAACTGAGAAAATGACTGTGGCTGGAATTTAATTTTAAATACTGAATGTCCCAATTAAAATGTTGGCAGAGTGCCCTCCCTAACTGTCAATTAGTCCTAACGATTTTACATACTCTTGGAGAAATTGGGGACTTCTCGTTGTGGAAGATCATACACCACATTTACAAGGAATACCAATTCCTATCTGAACCTTTGCAGACAGTTGATCTCTGTTCTGGTGCTTTATATGTCATCATCACACATGGCAAGATTTATCCTAGTTGATTCTCTCATGATTAACAGACTTTGCAGACATCTGTTTGATAATTTGTATTACCCTTCCTGCCATTCACCAGACTAGGGATGATAAGGTGAAACATATGCCCTAACCACATATAACACTTGATACATATACAGATTTCTTCCAATGTGCCAAGTCATGCTATTTAGTTCTTGGCTGAAACTTTTACGATAGTCTATGCTAACATATTGATAAATTGATAAGCTTTGGCCCATTCCGTGAAGCAGATGCCAGTGATGACTTGTCGCAGTGGACTAGCAATATTTAGGGCTACCCTATGCAGAGGAGATCCAACAATAATATGTTGGAGTTTACCACTGTACAGCACTCACACCAGCACTGAACATCTCGACTCATTTCTTGCCAGAATAACTACCATTTAATGTTAGCATAAGTGCAGATTACACCTGAAGAACGTCTTCCTGTAGAGCTCTGAAACCACGAGATGCAGCACTGTTAGTTTTTCTATTAGAACTGGTTGGCTTTGACCTTGATGAGCAGCAAAGAGTGCCCATGTAAAGTCATGGTTTTCCAGTTGCTCATTTAAAAGCTCCTGAATAATACATTTTGGCATTCATCTGCCAGTGAAGTCCTCTACCTCATGGTCAGCATCTACTATGGCGAAAGTGGTCATGGTTCAATTCTTTTCTGGATTCCAAAATTAGGACATTCTGTGGACAATCACAGTCTTATCATGATGCGAGATAGTCCATTTGCATATCTGTGGTGTTGATCTAGGCAATAAACTATGACAAAATAACACTTTTGGAACATGCTATAATGCCTTCTGGATTTATAACATTTACTAACCAGTTCAACAAAATGTGGTCCACTTGTTTGGTGTATTTCCTATCACACAAGTAGTGGCGATAGTATTTCACGAAGAACAGCTTTTGCAAGCTGTTCTTTCTTCATCATATAGTATCTGTGTTTAAGAGCCTTGAGCATATAACGGATGTGATTGATTACATGTTCTACTCTGTCCTGCATCTGTGATAATGCTGCTCTGACTCTGTTATTGCTGGCATAATTGCCCATGAGAAACTCACAGTCTTGATGGGATTATCCAGCACTAGAACATCAAAATCATATTCCTGACTCCATTCAAAGAGCACTTCCGTTTCTTGTGAGAGCCAATAATGATGCTGATATTTTCGAGAGGTTATCCAAACGTAATTTACCAAGGAAACTCTGTACTCCTCGCTTCATCATGGGTTGATGCTAATCTCATATCATGATAGCCTTAGATGTCTATGTCGAGACTTTAATCACAGTGTGAAAAAGATACTATACACTCTTCTGCATGAGCAATCACTTTCCTGATTTCATCTTCAAGGCTGCCTGTCATAAGTACTGTAATACCATCTTCATATTCTCAGACACAGGCTCAACAGTTTAGCCAAGCATCAAAACATCATTAATATAGACCAGACATTTCTTCTATTCAGTTCCTTGAGCGGTAGCTCCGTCAGCCACTTAAAAGTAGCAGGTGCATTACACATACTGAATGAAATTACATGAAATACATATAAACCATGTCATTCCCCATCACAAAATCTAAGGTATTAAACCAATGGAAGTCTACTAACACTATCGAACATTCATCTGTTTACAGTAAAGGAGCGGCAATTACCCATCTAAAATTCACACAGAACCTTGGTGTATTTTCTTGTTTCTGACAATCACTGCTGGAAATGACCAAGATCTTCCAAAGGCTGTATAACGAATGTAGCATCCACAGATTTTCAGTGATTGGGACCACTCCAGTGCACCAAGGAAATCGGAAGGTGATTCCTTTATTGAGCATATGTTTTCTTTGTCTATGTGGTGTGGGGTCACCATTATTCAACCCATTCAGCCGTCTAATCCCACAAATACATTGATATATTCACCCAACATGTTATTGACTTGCTTTCATTGTGTCTGTAGACTTATATTTGCTTTTGGCTAGCATCAGTTATTTTGACTCACTGTGCTTACAACCATTTCAACTGACTGTCCATATCACAAAGCAATACCAGGACTTTATTCTTTGTTGGTCAGTTTTTTTATAGGTTGGGTTCTATGACCATGTTATATGGGACTGCCACATTATACTTTGTCTGGATTAAACCACAGAACAACACTTCTACACATGAAGATATTGTATACACTTGTACACCTCACCTGTTGGGCATACAAAAACATATGTCCATCCCAAGGATGCTGGTTCCATATCCTAGATCAAAAATTACTACTTTTATTCTATGGGTGACACCTTCCAGTCTAGTCTAGTCTATCACCATTTACTAGAATGAGAATGAAGTTAGTATTCATGGGCCATAGTTATGATCTCACTCAGATGGTTTAAAATATCATGAGGTCAATAAAGTCCTCACCAGTCTTTTATCTATCAAGAACTAAACCTGTCACATTTGTACAATTATTGGCACATATGAAGCTCCACCCAGCCCTGGTGGAAATGGGCTGAACAATGTCTGCTTTTCTTACCCAGGTTAGTGGTCAAGCCCAACTTGGACACTTATCAATTATCTGGAACTTTTGCCACAGCATTCACTCCTTATTGGTAGCCATCCTAAGCCTACACATCTAACAGTCAACATTGATACCTTTACCATCTTTAGTGTATGACAAAGTACATGTGGTTCCTTCACCAGTGTCCCACCAGTCTACAAGTGAAGTAGAGATAGAAGTATCAGCCAAGGTTGCAGTGTGTATTGTATGGGTGGACCTGGCATTGGTATGTATCCTTGTGATGATGTAACCCTTGAACATCCCTTACTGTGGCATATATGCCATGGACAGATTTTGTTCTGGCATGTACCCTGTGAGCAGACCAGAATAACCCTGCCAACTCACTGGAGACCAGTGTGTTTGCATCACATTTCCATCTGGATTAGGTGGCTGACGGTTAGCGTGATGTAGGTACTATTATACTCTGTCTATGGAATTGTCACTACATGATTTTTCCTCTCTAACAGCTGGGTTGAAGTGCTAACTTGGCACTGTCCTATGTAATTAATGATGTTTCTGACTCACAGTGTAGATACATAATCTAATTGGAAATCCCTCTGTGAACATATTGACCAGGGTATCATACCAACCTGCCAAGTCTATTGCCATGTATTCCTTCCTTTACTGTCTCTCAATGCTGATTCTCTTGTAAGCCTTGAACGTGTCCTATTAAACTGCTCAATTCTCCACCAGCTTGAGTAGGTGATGCAACTGGAAGAAGATGGTTTCTTATTTGTTCTGCTGCTCCTTATCCAGATAGTCAATGGCATTGAGGGCACATCTAAGCTCAGGACAGGGCATTGAAAAGTTTAAAATTGAATAAATAATTGAAATTCAACTTTTCATGTTTACACAATTAAAATTTTATTAAAGCCATCAACAGTTTCCACATAAAAACACTTTAATTTACACATTTCAACATAAAGCATTTTAAGGGGAAGCTATTAACAGCTTTGTTAAAGATTTTAATTCTGTAAATATAAAATCTTACATT